AGAGAGAGAGAGAGACGCGACCGACCGGCCGGCCGACCCCTCGGCGCACTCGATAGCGCACGGAGCTTCATTGGTGCAACGAACCGAGCATAGATTGGGATCCGGTTTCAGATTCGACCGGGATTTAGATCATTATCCGCCGACGGGACTTGGGAACACGTCGCCGCGGCGCACGATGTGTTCTTTGACGCGCCGCAAATCCCCGCGCGAAACAATTAACCCTTTGCACTGGCGTCGTCGCTCGGAGCGCGTGTGCCCCGGGATGAACGATATGCCAGTGAGATAGAACTTTATGCGCGCGTGAGTGTCGGCGCCTGTATTCGTTGTACAATCCTTTGTGACAAGCGAATGTTGCGTTTTATTTTTTTTGGCATCTCAAGCGTATCGCATTCAATGCTTTTAAATACACAACATAATTATGTGATTATTTGTCTATTATTTTGCTACAATTCTTATTCTTGCAGAGTTGTCGAACATATTGAACAATTTAATGCTATGCAAAATTTTAGTTAAAAGATGTAAATAATCGTTTTGTTGATTATCTGGTAAAGTACACTATTATCTTGCTATTTTTCTGAACATAATGTTTTATTTTGGATTAAAAATAAAAAATCAAGTAAACTCACGAAGAGAATTTATGTAAACATACATGTAATTCTGATTATAACTCTCGCATCTTGCACAAGCAAGCGCTTACTAAGCGCAAAGTGACTTTCCGCTGAACGCTATCTAATATTCTACTATCTTGTATCTTGTTTACCCGGTGGACAGCATGTTTTCAGCTTCCTACAGGCACGCTAGGTAAGCGCTTATACTCTTTGCTAAGTGTTGAGAGAGAGTCGGTCAAGTAGTCAGCAAAATATTCACGCGTTCGCCGCACCGGCGAAGAAAAAAATTGATTCCGCGGAGACGCAAGAAAATATTGTCATTTCGAAGCGCCCTGATGATCAACTAATGATTGCAATATTTTCGCATATACTTTAACGCGAAAATCACGCGATAAAATATTGTCTCGAAGTAAGCCTGGAATACTTAATACGACTGATGCGGCGCATTGAATCTGTCATGCGTCGTCAGTGCTGACCAAATTATTCTCGAAATTGGCTTCGTGTGACGCGCCGCATTACGACATTCTGATATAACCCCGTTTGCACCTAACTACATTAAATTCCAAAACAAAATGCGCGAACAAAATTTGCATTTCCCCTCTGGCGCACACATCCGCGCGGCGCCGTTGGGAGCAACTCCCGGATAAAACGTGTATGACGCGCGGCGCGGTCCGGCAGCGCGGTCCGCACGGCATTAAAATTACATTATTTCGCCAGCTTCGAACGTACGCGAAGTATGCACCGCGTTGATTATGAGTTTTAATGAATTTCTACGGGATCATTATAAAGCCGCTCTCGGGGCTGTGCGGTCGCACACGTGGCCGTGCCTTCGCTTGCACACGTCGGGCGCGCCCGCGTGTTTGTGAAACACAGCACGGCGCCGCGTCACGACGATCGGCTCTCTCCGTTCACGCGCGCCCCGTTATTGCCTCGTATACACGCGCGACCGTATTATATTCCCGGGGCTTTTTCACAGATAGAGTCGTACGGGTTAGAACTGACAAATGGAGCCGACACGTGTCACGATGTTAATGCGCGGTGAAAAATTATTTCGCAATATCGAGCGGTGCGGCGGGATGCCGCGCCCTTACGCGTTATGAATCGAGTCGAGTCGTCTCGTCTCGCCTCGCCTCGTGGGCGATATCTGTTCTTTCACTATTAAGCAGCAATAAAACAGTCGGAGTTCTCCGGGGCGAAAAATAAATGACTACTTTTTTCAGCGCGTGGCGCTCCCTCGAAGAAAGGTTTAATGATTTTTGGAGATTATCAGTCTTTTTCACGGTATGTTTTGTGTCATTTACGGATGCGAGAGATAATCGCATATATACGTACATGAAAGCTTATTTGGCGAACGGTATTGCTTAATTGGACGGAAGTATTCTATAAATTAACGAAAATAAAGTGCTGACATATATCAATTTCTGAATATAATTATTTTAATATGAGAGATTGTAGATTTTTTGTCTGTAAGAAAGATATCACACGATAAAATGCTGGGTTTCGAATGAACGATTAATTGAGCGGATAAAAATGGTTTTAATTGCGCGATGGTATTATATGCAAATACATTCGATCCAGACGTATCATTCGACTTTATTCAAATAACAATCGTACACATTTCCATTTCTCATTGTCGCCCATTTCGATGATATTCTGTATTATATCATACGTATTCAAACAAACTGCGGGATAGCGATAACGGGAATCGGGGGGCGTTTGGGAGGGAGAGCGGACGCGACGCGCAAAGAAAAGGGAACGAAAAAGGATGGTGGGCGTGAGTGAGTCGGATAGAGTAGGGAGAACGAAAGAGAATGGCATTTGCACTGGCTCTCAGCCAAATCCCACCTCATCAAAATGTCGGAAAGACGGCTTGAGACGAGTCAAGGCAACACAGTCTGAATGTCATCCCTATGTAATCACCGATGTCCCAGGTTATCAATTATCAGCCAAACCATACAATAGTACTTTGTCGTCGGACAAAATAAAGCCTTGGATACGGAAACGACAAACTTGTAATATAGCGAAAATATTATAAAATATAATTGTTAACGTCATGATTGTGCGGTATACCAAATTGTTTTTATATGTACGTGAGACTATTTGCTTGTAATTCTTTGTATTATTTGTTAAAGGTTAAGGTGCAACTAGCGCGAGCACGAGACGGACAGACGGAGTTTCTCTGAGAATTGCAAAAAGATAAAAAGAATCTCGAGCCGCTAAGTAGTGTGGATTGAACTCGGAGATCTTGGACTATCGCAAGTGTTAACACAGAAAAATTGTACCCAGATTCGAGTAGAATTCGAGTACGGAAAAAAACGTTCAACGAGCGACGGTACGTTATATTATTTATTTGACCAATTCTGTCGTCGGAATTATTTTTTGTTAAATATATTTAGTTTCCTTTAACATCTTGCTTTTAATTAATTGCCCTCAATTTTACAAGAAAATCCTACACTTCATTGCTTTAGATATTCGCTAATGTGGAATAAATCCGAAAGAAATATACAGTCGTACAAATAGCATAAAAGCACGCGAATTAATCTTATTCGTACCGCTTTTTACGGCGCTCTCGTTTAAGTGTTATGCATGATGCATTTTAGCGAATAAATATATGAAATATAAAGATCGTTCTCGATTCAAGATTGCCAATGCTTACTCGTAATTGAAATTTGATTTTGGCGGGAATAATGTACGTGAAGCATAATTGTGATTGAATATTTGACCGTACTATTGTGGCAGCACTGTGCAACGAAGGTAAAGACTACACGAGTGGAAAAAGCACACACTTGATCCATCGTTATTTCGATTTACATTATAATCTTAATAATATGTGATAATTAGGGCGCGGACGTTCATGCACGATCCCGTGTCACGCGCGTAGAACCGCAGCGTACGAATGAGTCGTATGAGTGAGAGAATGTTGCTATCTCACTTCAGCGAGCACCCGACTCACTCGCACGCTGCGGTTCTCCGCGCGCGACACGGGATCGTGCACGAACATCCGCGCCCTAGTGATAATATATCAAAAAAACTTATCTCTTTTATATTTTCAGAACTCAAAATAACTTTAATAACTAAGTATTAAAGAGAGATGAAAAAAAGAATATGCAGCTATATAAAGGACAAACCAGCAAAATGAATGTAATTGTGCGATTATCGTTTCGCGCCGTAAAATCATCGTAAATAAATCAAGTCTCAGATACGAAATAAATAAAAAATAAACGAATATGATAAGAAAAATTCACTCACCAGTCGGTGTCGTCTTTCTTCTGTTAGTAATTCAATTGCTCCGAATACTCTTACAGCTCGAACGGCATGATTTTGCAGAAATGATCTTGCTAATCCACGGTCCGCCATTTTATACATTTCCGTTTGCATGTTACACTCCCGTTTACGCGCACGACGAATTTCGAGCGAGCGAGTAACACGATATACGACGATCACTCCCGACTCAAGATTACCGATACAAAATTGCGCACGAGATTCAATCTCGATGAGAAGGGGAACATAACATACGTAAAACATAAACTGATCTAAACACTAAACCACACCTTCCGAACGACACTAATAGACTGACCGTGACCGTTTTCCCGCTAAACTAGCTTCGTGACGTACTATGCTAGTCAAAGAGAAATACAAGCTCTCGATTTTTCGTGCTAACCCCAACAAAGCTCAAAATCATCACTACATCAAAATTAAATCACTAATATTTTTTATCAAACTTAACGTTGTATTTTTTAAATTCCTTATTTACGTATGATAATTAATGTATATTAATTAATTTAATTGACTAGTATTGTTTCTTGTAGTAGATAGGCGACGTCTGGTAGCACTGTCGAGCAATTAATGATTGACGATCTGATTGGATAGATCAAAAAATATGCGCCAATCAAATTAAGCGTCATTAATCGCTCTCTAAGCATTTCTTTCTTTATCTAACGATATGTTTTCTAAATACCTTATTGTATAATAATGTATATTAATGAATAGCATTGACTAGTATTGTTTCTTGTAGTAGATAGACGACGTCTGGTCGTAGCACTTTCGAGCAATTAATGATTGACGATCTGATTGGATAGATCGAAAAATGTGCGCCAATCAGATTAAGCGCCATTAATCGCTCTCTATGCATTCCTTTCTTTGTTCTCTAAGCATCTTATGCTCAACAGTTAAAATGAAGTAACAGGCTAGTCAAAACGACTATTTGATATTATTACATTGAGATTAATACATTGAGATAGCACATTAAAATAATGATATATAAATCCAATAGGTAAGCATAATTTTGTTTTACTGTTTGATTTTTTAACAGCGATCGTCAGTTAGTATGATAGATCGAGCATTTGTTTTTTCTTTGACTAACGTAGTCTTCTTCTTCGTCTAGTTGGTCTCCTGTAATTTAGCAGCGTCATTGCGGCCATATTTTCAAATGGAACAATTCATTCTTCTAAAAAATCCATGTTTTATGTAAGTTTTTGGATCGATATCAATATATATATTATCAGTATATTAGTAGTTTTTAATCGTGATCATTATATTTTATATTATTTGTTCATCTAAGATTCGTCGTGCGTATAAACGAGAGTGTAAGATTTAAACAATAGTATCGTAGAAAATGTCGAGTCATTGTAATTAGTTTTGTCTTTTATGTAGATTAAAACGATGTATACGAGCGAGTATCTGGAGAAATCGAATTGCCACTAGGAAAGAAACGACGACGGCGAATTCGGCTGGTGAGAAAACTTGCTTGTTATGTTCATTTATTTATTTCATTAGCAATGATTTTACATTATAATCGTATTACAATTATCACTGTCAATAGTGTTTGTTTTATACCATAGCTCTGTGCAGCTTTCTTGCAGCTATATTTGTCTTATTTTTTCTTTTTTTAACATTTTATTATATATCTGTTTATTTCAAGCGCAAGTAAAATATTGCAGCTATAAAGAATAGCCACTGTTTGCAAATTATGTATTAAACTTAGCAATAACAACGCTAATCAAAACGGCGCAGCGAGTGTTTCTATTTTTCTTTGATTCGCGTAGTCTATGATATAGTTTCACGGCAGTTTCACAATGTTGTTGCAACGGTTTGTTCAAGTACTTGGATCGATTTGTGTTCGTGCTTTTCCGATCTCCATCGAATCCGCATGATTGTGCATTAGTAATCTTCAGTGGAAAGCGATCGTTCTATTTCGCGTTATTCGCGACCTAACCTTACCGAAAATTCATTGTGCGCACAAGTGGGAATGTAACGTAAACAGTAATGTTATAAAAAAATGCTGACTCATCCTGATCAGTTTTGGCTTTCCTACAGATTTGCACTGTATGAACGAGTATCTGGAGAAATCAAGTTGTTGAGAAAAGAGTTGCTAGGAAAGAAACAACGAGGACCGACGGCAGAATTTGTCGAATTTGGTGAGTAAATTTTTGAGTATTATGCTCATTTATTATTCATTTATTTTATTAGCGATGATTGCACAATATTACATTGTAATCGTTACTCTATTTAACATTGTAGCTCTGTGTTTTTTTATAGTTGCTCTTTTTCTTTCTGCTCTGTTTTTGTTAACACTTATTTGTATATTTTAAACGCAGAATGTGTATAAAATATTAGCTACAAAGAGTAAGCTTTGTTTTCGAGATTATTGTAAATTGTTAAAGTAACAATGCTAGTTAAAATAGCGAACCACAAGACATTTGTTTTTTCTTTGATTCTTGAGTATTCCATTGCGTCTCACAGCGCTATTCGCGACATTACGTTCACATCATGTTTACATGTATTTTCTTATTGAAATTGAATCCCGCGAGCAATTGTGTATCAATAGCCTTGAATCGACGATCGTCATGTTTTGCGTTATTGTTCGTCTACAATACGTCGTGTGTGCAAATATAAATACAACATGCAAGTGTACGTACCGTAACAAAGTGGGCGATTAAGGTTAGGTTAGATTAAATTCACGTCTTATCTACCTTATGGTTAGATTAAGGTAGGTTAAGGTTCACGCGCGATTGTGACTATTTATATCTTTCCTACGGACTTCTGCCATACGAACGAATATCGTGCAATCGAGCAACCGATATAAAGAAAGTATTGGATTCGAATACGCTACAACGATTTTATTTTGATGTTTCAGCTCTTCGCTCTGACCGTTTGTTTTTTTCCAATTGTGTCATCGTCAACTTAGTCTCATCATGGTGCTATCACGGTGCTATCACGGTGCTATCACGGCAACACAATCAAGCATCCGAATTGATCTGCATTTTCTCATCGAGACTATATTCCGTGCAGCAGTCGAGCTGCCGATAGAAAGATGATACGGCGAATCCGAAAAAGATGAAACACAACTGGTGAGTAAATTTCAGTTATTATTCTTATGATGATCATTTATTTTCGACGATGATTTGACAACGTTATATCCATCTTATGCTGTTTGCGATTACTGTATTAAATGATGTTAATTAATGGAAAATTATGCTTATTTTAATTATTTGATTGATAATACGTTTTTCAATTCAATGTTCAATATTTTCATTCATGAATGTAAATGTTTTAACTTATTTTATCCATCTAATATTTTTTATCGCAATGCACCCATTTCTTACGTTAATTAAATATTTAATTGAATGTACTTATCTTTCCGATATCGGTAATGATATATACATAATGTTGCAAAATTTTGCGAATATAATATTCGCACGAATAGCGTTTATCGGCGAAGGATTAGATCGAACATATTCCAGACGCGGAATAATTAATTGCTGAGGGGGTACTGCCGTTTTGATTATACGTGATTAATAAGTATTGCTCACTAATTTCCCATTTGCCGGATATATGTACCCTTAACTGGGACAGCAGACGATACTCCCGTAATTAGGACACGAGCCGGGCTGGGTGTATCTGCCACATTTTACGTTGTATTACGTCGCACTCGCCCGGCGCATCGCAGTGCCATCGTATAACGGTATAACGGCGGGAGCGTCGCGTGGATGCAACGTCCATTTCTCCATGGACAAATGCAATTCCAAGTTCATGCATCCGACATGTTACGTTACGAACAGAGCCTTACAAATACCGTATATAATATGTTGTGATTACATAACGCGTATAAACCCACGACAAAGTAGACGCGACGCGGAGTATTTCACAGTTTTGCTCGCGTCGTCGTTATACACTCGCGTCTCGGCAAAATCCACAATACCTCGCAAACTTTCATAATGCGTATTTTGTTGCAACGTGTTCCTCACAATGCGGATTTTATCGCATATCTAATTATTTGTTTCCTTCCGCGGACGTTTCGTTGCACGGCGCGCTCGCGCAGTGACGCGTTCGCGCTTATTATTTTCACTCTCTCGGGAAAATGATCGTTACACTGTCACACTGGCAACGGCAAATTACCAAGTATCGTTACGGCCGGGAAAGTTCATCGCGCCGGATAGCTTGGGTAAATATACCCGTCGCGCGATGAGCAAACACGAAAAAGAGTATTTTTTTGGAGATCAAAGGTGCGCGCAACATTTCAACTAACCGAATCTCTTTAGTGTACATGAAACGACACTTCAAACACGCGTTTACACAAGCCCGAGGCCCTTTCAAAAAATATGATGACACGCGCTTTGTAGACGCTTGAGCGAAGTGCTGTTTTGAACGCATCTGCGATGCAGCAGAAACGGCTGCTGATTTGTTTTCATAAAAGCCGAATGCACCGGGATTGCTCGGAATCGTTACTGTCACTCGCTTACCGGAAGAGTTATGATGTTGTTGATGTAACCGAATGGGCTTGAACTGTCCCTGCGAGATTCGGCCTGGGTGACGAGGGAACGCCGCGACTGTCTTGATATTTTTCGACGTTGCGGTACGTAGGACAAGACGGGGGTACGACAAATGCGAGGCAAATGCGGAAGTCATCGCTCATGTGGTGCTCGTGTGGTGCGCAGTGCGCCCCGATCATCATAACTCAGGATCAGCAGTTTTATCCCTGGTTCCGATTAAACTGACGAACGATTCGAGGGGAAGCATTCGTCGGCGGTAAATCACGGGGGTAAATCGGGTTATCAACAAACCAGCTAATGGGTTTTTATTATGCACCGTGCCGGGAAAATTGGATTACTTTGGAGACGCGTTGTTGAGTGAAAGAAAAAAATTGGGAAATAATGTTCTGAATAATGAAACAACACGTTAGCTAGGGATATATTAGCACACTGGTAGCGATATAATAAAATACGTGACTCAATAGTTTTTGTGTCAACAACTATTCTGATTGAAAAACGATATTGCTGAGGAAGAATCCAAGAGCACCAAGCATCTCTTTGCGTGCCGCTTTATTCGAGGGCAATCTTACCGATGAGATTCCTTAGAAAGCGGTCCTTAGAAGACGGTTGCGTAGCGCACAATAAATATTCTTCAGACTCTTTTGAAAGAAATTTATAAGGTAGATAGGTATCTTATTGAAATCGATGATTATGTCATTCAGGAATCTGTCGCGAGATATAAAACTGATTTCTTCCGCGTTATGTAAAAAAGCTTGGAGAGCTTTCAAATTTTCAACTTTTTCTATAATTATCACGTTCTTCAATTTAAAATAAAATATAATATTTACGATCGAAATCTGCAGACAGTAAGTAAGTTGATAAAGAAATATGATTGATATTCTTGTTTAACGGCAATTGTTCTACTTAAACAGCAGAGATGCATAAGGATCATGCTTAGTTGCGGCGCCGGATAACAGTGATTGTTTGCTCCAAACTTTTTTTACACGCGAGTGAAATTCACTCGAACGGCGGTTATCGGATCTTTTTGAGTGTGTTTTGTGGCACGCAACGACATGCCCATTAAGGAGGCTCGATGTCGTTATCTAGATCGAGTTCCCTGCAATTACCCCTGTCTGAGCGGCTTCTTTTATTTTGGCTCCAAATACCAAGTATGACGCGCTAGCGTCTAAATTAGTAATTGCCGGTTGACCGTGACTGTAAATTCAAGCTCGAGAATATCGATGAAATGTCTGCGCATCAGTGAGCACTGCACTGAGGCTAACAAAACCAAATTGTGCTAAATGAAAACAACGCACAATGTAAATCCGCTCTGAATATAAAATAAAATGTAAAGAAGCCATTGAAAAATGTGATGTTCTGTTTGAATTCGCAGTATCGATCCTCGAAAACATTGATCTCTAACATTATCAATAGTGAAACGTTGATAGGTCACATAAAAAAATTTGCGATCTTGTTCGATCGTTCGTTACGAGTTCGTGCGCCGTGCCACCTGGCAAACGATCGATCAATAATACGAAGATAAACGATTCCCCGACACGCAGGTAGCCAAAGTTTAAGCCGTTGCACCAGGAAAATCGTGCTCTGTCTCCCACATTCCCCGTAATTCCTTCATTCTCTCTGTGATAATTTATCTTTATTTTAATTAAAAAGTCTTTAGTCCTGTCAGATTGGTGATTAATACGCAGTTTCACATTAATTCTATCGATAAATTAATTGCTACGACCAATCGGCCGATCGTATTTAAAAATTTCCAGACGATCGGAATTTCCGTGGTTTAATTCCCGTCGATGGATAACTACGCATATCGATAGTGAAAAAAAAGAGGTGCGTGCGCAAAATGAAACGCGCTATTTAATTCCGACTAACACGCGCGCAGGGCTCCCCCCGGTTCGCGCCGTTTGCCATGGGAGTCGTACGGGAAAAATTACGCGGAAAAATGAAACGATTTAGGAAAATTTTCGATGCGGCGCGGCGCGGCGCGCGATGACACGAGTCCCGCGGAAACCAATCTCGTAAAACGCGGAACGGCGCGCAGCCGGGTATCACCGCGACGGCATTCGACGTCCGTGGCGCGCGGGGAACAGGAATATCGGACCTTTACCCCATCGGGGGCGTTCATGCGACCGCTGATACGCCGGTCGGTCGCTCTCGCAGCGAAACCCAGGTTGCCCATTACGCAGCGGTTAAGCCGGATAATCGATCGGTCGGCGGCGGCGGCAATGGTGGCGGTGGCGGTGGCGGCGGCGGCGACGGTAGCGGTAGCGGTGGCAGCGGCAGCGACGGTGGCAGCAACAGTAACGGCAGCGACAGTAGCACACGCACCGGCACAGATAAATTAGACGGGCTGCCAATACCGCTCATTAGCGTGCCAGGCGCAGAAAACGCCGCAGGCCAATTATGAAAAGCGAATTTCTACCGACGAACAACCGCGGCGCAGCGGCGGGCGGCGACCGCGGTCGTTGCGACGAGACGAGCGAAGGCCGATGGAAAAAAAAATTTGCCGCGGAAAAACGATCGGAACGTCGACGCGGTCGGCCGATCGCGAATGGATTTTGCGGTTTCCTCGCGCGTTCGCGCGTGTGGACGCGGCCCGCGTACACATACATATGCGTGTACATTTATCGCGCAGCTTCCCCGCCGCGCATCTGAACGGACGGGTGTCAAAATGCGAGCGCGTTAAACGCGCGCGACGACCTATCGTTGCGCGTCAAACTGTCGCGCCGCCAAAACCGCTGTCCTTTTCACGCATTGCACGCGATCGCTTATATCGAACTAATTGTCGCCTCGGAATGCGCGAGTTTTTCCGCCCTTCTGTTCGCCAAGTATGCGGAAGATTGGAAATTGTTATCTCACTCGAGCCGGTTACGCGAACAACTTGTATATTCCAGAGTAACGCTAACATAACATTTCATTATATCGTTATTTTATCCGTGAAAACTTGCGCCAACTTCCGCAGTCGCGCTATGCACCTGCAGTGTGTATATTTAAATAAACTACGCGCTAGTTCACACATTACACTCTAGTTCATTGCGGCAACATACTCCGCGTCGTAGCGAAGAATGCATCGGTATCAGTTGCAGAAGCCGCAAACCTCAACATTGACATGCGTTTTTCGCCGGCATCGCCGCGGATAATTTGCGCAAGCATGCGTCTGCAGGCGTTTGCATGCGTGTTCGGTCAGCGTGCATTGCGCCAGATTCGCCGGGAATCTCGCATTAAATTCGCACCGCGCGGCAATCAGTCGCCATTCTGCCCGTGTTACGTTGCTGTTACGTGCGACGCTTACATACGTTATTACACGAATATATGACCACTGCGGCGACGGCGGCCCACCGTCGCTGCCTTTTCTCAACGTATCGCAGACAACACGTACGCTTAATTAAACCGCCATCGTCGCCGTCGCTCCATTTTATTCGCGTTGCACGCACGTCACCGCTCTTGCAGAATGGCAAGCGAAATTTCTTGACACGCGAATCGAAGGGGCCCGAGCGCGCACCGATCGTGCGTCGTATGCGAATGTAGCGTGGCTTTTGAGCACTTGCAAAGTGCCAATCATGACTGCAAATGTAGTTAATTGAAAATGAAAACCGAGTATTTTATACGCCTCTTGCGACCGTGGTGCATTCAAAGTTCATATTTTCCTCTTTTATAATAATATTAAATTTCGAGAAAATATGTTGCGTTGAGAATGTTTGTGATTTAGTCCCGGTAAATTCAAAATTTTTTAAATATTACACAAGCTTCCTGTTTCAGGAAATGCGATATATTAGTTTTTGACTAAGACCGCTGCAGTTCACTTGCAACGCTTTTACGAAGCGGATTAAAAGCTTCCGTGTAAGAGTACGCTAAATTCGTACTTGTTTAACCCAGTTTCTCATATACCTTCCGTTCCTCTCGAAAATGTTCTTTTTGGCTTACAACCTTCCTCCATTCTTGGCTTTAATTACCCGACTACTTTTCATCGCGTTCATTACTCTGGAAACGAAACAGTGCGCGACGATTTTCTTTTCTCTAGTATACATTTATGTGTATATTGTGCTTAATATCTTGATCTTGATCTTCTTATATCGCATCGTTCGTTATTGCAATAACGCGGAAGCATTAATGTCAGCCGGTTAATTATAATTGCAATTTGATTAATTTTCTATCTCTTTGATTAATTGCGTCGATAATAATATATCAACAGTGTTCGAATATTTACTTAATTATTAATTAACTGAAACAACCTAATAATATAACTAGAAGCAACGTTTTGTTAATTATTTTATTATTTTATGATGCATATTTGAAAATAAAATTGAAAAATATTATATGAAAAAAGAAATATTGCCATTGCATATGGCTCATGTATTTTGACTATTTATAAATGAATGAGAGGAATCGCGATAGACGATAAAACGGATCTTTTATTGAAATTTGTGTGCGGTACAACACGTGTTTTTGTATAGCTTCGTTACAGAGTTTACTGCTTCGTTACGAGGGTAGAACGCTGACTCTTGTGGATTTGTCGACAATAACTGTTTGATAATGTCATGAATTCGACATTCAGCATTTTTGAATCGATATACGCGACCTCGCCAATCCCGTCCATCCAATCATTACAATAAACGCTCGAATAATCGTCGTAGAATCGCTACAATATGTTGATTGCAACCTCGAAATGGATTTACGGAAATGACGCAGCTTACATGCCGCCTGTTTAATCACATTTAGCGGAACTTTAGTGCGTCGCACGTTTCGTGTAATTATCGATGTAATCGATGCACTGAGATATAGCCTTTTAAAGCTTAGAGCACAGCGAATTTATGAGTAATAGTAGCTTTGATTTTTCGCATATAAAATTTTCGCAATATAATTAATGCGTTTTTTTCAGAAATATTTTACTTACTAGAAAAACCTAATTTTCTGCTTGCTCGAAGCGTATTACTCGCCTCATCAATTATTATTACGTATATTTTTAGACGTAATCACATTGATCGATTCACACATTGTTGTAACAGCCTATCGTTATCTGATGATTCGATATCGCGATGCAGCGGTGTGTTATCTGTATAAAATATTCGGCCAATGTGCGGTATGCAACATTAATGGGATTTTTGTATTACCAACACGTAGAGATAACTATCACTAAGCACCATAGTTCGCGTTCGTTATCGGACCGCAAAGTATTCCATGGAGACATTATCGTTGCTTTCGATGATATCAACCAATTTTTATAAATAATTAAAAAATAAAAAATTGAAAGTACGCAATAATCGTTCAATAGTAATCAATCCGTGAATATAATGCTTGACTTATCACGTCGAGAATTCGCACAATTTATGATGATAATTAGTATTTTATCACCACTTGCAATTCTGCGCTCAAAGATGCTGCTTTCGACAAATATGGGAAATATATGCTATCACGACTGTCTTAAATTTTATTATTTATAGCGGATAAATGGCTGTTTTAAGTTAACGGATTATTCATATTGGGGTTTCGTGGCTGTAGATTTTGAATATTTTGAGAGGGAATGAACCGCAGACAAAGCTTCTATTGGCGAGAGCCTTGAGAGCGGCAGTAGCGACGGATTTCATATGACGAGGTTAAAGAGGCACGAGATCATCCTTCTTTCTTCGACAAGAAAGCGGGGTTGCTTGCAGACGCGCGCTGTCTCCGTTCAATACCCCCGTGTATCTTCTTGCACTCGGCTTTTTATCCGCTCTGCTGCGAGCATCTCTTCCATGCTTCCGTTCCTTCCGCTCACGTTTATGATTCTCCCTTTAGCTTCGGCTCGCTATCGCATTTTCCAAGCGGTGTTCTCCTTCGAAAAGCGCTTTCTTATTTGCGACAACGCGCCGCACTTGCCGTTCCCTGCCTCCGGACGGCGCACTTGAACGGTAGCTATAATTGAAGAATATTGCCCCGCATGGACCGCAAATAGAACGCGACTCTAATTTCATTATTCGTGAAAGAAGCGTGCATCTCCGTAGAGAGAATATCTCACGGAGGTGACTTTGCCTACGAGCTCCTTGTATTGCTATTAGAACATGGAGGCGGGAAAGAGGAAATGGGAGACGGGATAACAAGAAAAAAGTAGAGACTGCCGCACGCCACTCCGCAGAAAATGTATGATGCGGTACACCGAGATAAAAAAGAAAAAGAGCGATTTTAGGTCGGTTAGTAGAAAAGAGTCGTCGAGGGCATAGGCAAACTGTCGTAAAAACTATATATGCATTTTTCTTTTACATTAAATTGCGATGAGGATAGAAATCGGCTTATATATTTAATATTCAATTTGTTTCATAAAATTTAAATTAAGAATTGGAGTAGACGAGTCAATTAAATGAAATATTCGTATTATATTTCATTCAAAAACTCGTTTATTATTTTTTAAATCTCATCTCTCTGGGATATTCGCTTCAAAGTAATAGATAAGTATAATTGATACTCGCGAGGCATTAAAAATATATTATTCTCTGTTGCGCGCGTTATATTAATTTTTTTTCCGTACGCTCTATACCTTCCCTCGTTATCTTCTAAACGGTCTTTCAAGAAGACGCGGTTGCCTGGCTATAAAGCTGCAAATCGATTTCTTCTCTCGACAAAGAGACTATTTACCGTATTACTAAACCTATATACCGAATGTGCTTCGCAACGACTTGTAGTATTAACCTTCTTTCTGTTGCGCTTGTTGCATTTCGCGCTCGATTTCACGTTGACGGATACTTTTATTTCAAGTGTCCGATTGTTAAAAATCGTTGCACGCTATGAACTAATGAGCTATTGACCTAGAGCGGCGTTATATCAGTTTTTACAACAAAAATATCGTGATGCGGATATCGCAAAAGGTTATTTTTTTGTTGCAAAATATTTTTATAATAAAATACACAAATAGTATGCGCATTCCACTAACATTCTTCAATTATATCTAGCGCAATATTGGCTCGATGGTGAACATGGTAAATAAATATTGCTGCGTAAACACGTATTGGCTAATAGTCACGTTAGTGTTTTTAGTCAAAGCATGTTATTAAGATTGCTCAAATGGTATTTGTTTAATAAGTCGCTCTAATAAGTCGATTTTATACAATTTGAAAGTAGGCTACGTAAACAATAATTTCTGATGACTTTAATAATCTGCAAAACGTGCATTAATTTTCGGAGTGCCGTGTGTGTACAGAACATTCCGGAGATTATCCACACCGAGAATTGCGACCAAACACTGTGGCACTCGCGTTCATTAAAATCGTCCGCAACGCAATGACGACTATATCGCGTGCCGGCGGCGTCGATTTATTTCCCGCCAGCGGCGCGGCGGAAGGAAGTATAGTCATCGATGGAAAACGGCTGTCGTCTGCTGTCTCCGTGTGTATCGGAATATGTACCGCCGTGATGCGATCACACGAGCCAGGAGCGCGGACATTTACACGCATTTAACCCTTTGACGAGCGGAAACACGCACGGCAAATCAGCGTCGGCGCGAGCGTTCGCGGTGTACGCATTCGGAGCATGCATCACCATCCAATTATCACAGCTCGCTGACGCTAATTTCGAGCATTCAGATATCATTTCATCCGTCAATGGCGGCCTGATTACCAATTGTATAACCCTTTTTTTTTGCAACTCGCTCGTACGGCCTCTCCCTCGCGCTGGCACAATGGTCGCTTTCGGGCCGATCGTGCGGTTCGTGAGTGAATGCTATACGCGAACACGACGGCATAATATGCTTCGAAGGATGTCTGTCAATTTTGCAGCTCGCGGCTGTAAACACGGCTGTTCTATCGGAGATAAAATTTCGCCGGCTAATTTACCTCGTGCGGAACACGACGAGGTGCAAAATTACATTACGGTAACGTTTCAGAGAGTGTTGCGCGTATCTGTAAATGGTTTATTAGTTGATAAAAATCATAATATAATCGAATGTGATTCTATGTTGATTGAAAAGTTGAGCGACAGATGGAAATTCACATATATTTTATTTCAAAGTAACATTTTGTTCAAAAAACAATTTTTTGTATATATAACGATTATAAATTTTTATGTGATATGTTGTTACGTTTTACTATAAAAGGGAATTATATTATATTTATCTATAAGTACACACAAATATGTACTTCACATTGATTATATTTTTTTAAATAATCGTAACTTTTATTAATACTTTTTCAGTTTTAGGATACGGTTATAAAAGTAAGCGAAAAATTTAATATCGTATATAGGTTTCATAAAAGATCGACCTGAAAGAAATAACGCGTTTTAAAGTTTGCGGCAGCCATTATATGCAGCAAAAAGCTTACATACTTTGTAATATTTCAGTATTATTTTTCCACATTGATGACAATGTTATTTTAAACATTATAAAATAAAAATCATTCTCATTAATTACAACGTTGCTTTACAAGGAGCACAATGAAACATTAGTTTTATTCATACTTTGCAGTAATAACACAAAGAATCGAAATACAAAAAGGAAATAATAGAGTAAATAATTTTATATTTCAGGTCTCTCGTGGAATTGAGTTTCCCGTATTTTTGGACGAAATTCGCCATGGAATCAGTGGGGAAATCACCGCGCTGTATGTGTACACAAAGTAGCGGTAAGTAATTTCTAATTTAAGAACATGACAATCTGCGATAATGCTGCGGCTTTACTATATAACAGACTTCATCATCATAATATCGAGTAGTACTCCAATTGTACTATTCGCTATAACTTATTAGTGCGAAAAGCGCATATCTATGCATACTTATTATTCTTGCGTAATTCTACAATATATAGTAAATATTTTATACCAAAAAGCACAAAGCAATCGGTTCTGGTTTATCGTGTTTTTTCTCTCTCTGCATTTATAATCTTATACCGGATATCTTTTTTTATCTGTACTCGCGTATCCCTAGCGATCGTTCGGTCACAAGTATTTTTTGACATGAAAATTCCGCGTGTCAGTCCGCAATACGCATCCATCGGACCAGCATACCTTCACCGCTCGCGTACTTATTTATTTTTGCATTAATCTATTTTTATTTTATTTGCTGGCGGAAATCGCGGCTGTCGCCGGCTGCGCCGCAGCCGCGTCGCGACGCGACGTCAACTGTAAACAGAAAGCCATGCGGCATTGCGGCAATCCTATCACGTATGCGCGTGTCTACGTGCACGCGTCGTTCATATGCTCGTCGGAGCAAATATGGTAATGCATTCACGCGAAATGTTTTCACGGGGCTTTCTCGAAATACCAAGTCCGTGCGTGGGGCCTCCCTAACGGTTTACAAACAAGCCTGATCGTTCTAGATGATGGCGAGCAACCCTCGCTGCCGCGACGCGTTTTCGGTACCACACACTGCGGAGTGTTGCGAATGCGCGCGTGTGCAAAAAGGATGAGACGTATATCCGAAAGCCACGTCATCGCTCAATTAATTTTTTTATAAAATATTTTTTTATTCATCTTTGTTCAAAATTTATTGCGAAAATATCAGAATAAATAACGTATTTAGACCGTGCTAATGTTATAAAAGATTTATATGTCGCGAATTTTTTTATTATGTATAGTCTCTGGAAATTTTTTAATTTGAGAAATATTTTAATTTGGAAAATATTTAGCTCGCAGATATTTATTTTAACTAAAAGTCGAGGTAAAAGTTCAGTAAAACTTTTATAACTCCGCAGATTTGCAAATTTAAATATTTCACAAAATAGATTATAAATATTCCACGAATTCATTAATTCCGTAAGCGAATCGATTCCCGAGAACCAGCTGAATTTTCGCGCCACGTTCGTTAAATTGAGACCTCGCTTTTCCATGAAACTCAACGTTGGGCAATAAAGTAATGTCAATATTACCGCCGCTATTATCCTAATCGATGTTCGTGATAGCAGTACCGAAGGCTTACACGGATCCGACGGGAGACCCCATCAGGATGGCTCCGTTACATTCATGACCCTGGCGCGGCGATTACGGTCGATGATCCGTGGCGAAATAACCCCCGGTTCCAATCATTTCTCCACACCAGGACCGCAGGGCCAGATGGGTCGTGGTGAAGTTGCGAAATCCTCGGTTAAGCCGTGATCGGGGCGACGCGTTTGAAGTCGTAGACCGCGGAGGACCGATCGGTGGCGGGCCGAATCGAAGATTCACGGGCCATCTGTTGTTAATCGGGGTGCGCGCACCGCTCCGTAATACCCTATCTTGCATTACGAAATCATCGATGACGAAATCCTCCGACTCAATTAGTTGGAAAGCGGCATAAATCCGGAGGAAACTGCCCCTCGCTCGTGTCGTGGATCAATATTCCCTCCGATGTAACGTTGGATGCGAAACTTCTAACACAATGATACCTTCCTCTGCGCTATAATGAATTACGATTATCCCTCATGCAATTGGAAAATACTTACACATTATTCCGAAATGTATTTTCTACGCATTTTATTTCAAGATTCTTCTATTTTAAAAATCTATTACAAATTTAAGTCTACTTTGATTTTGTCACGCGATCAAAAATGTAACATATTAGATATCGGCTGCTTTGCTTTTAATGCAAAATTCCGCTTTTCACTTATATCTCGCATAATCTTCGTTATTGGTCGTAGCGCACATGCACGCATCCGCAAGACGGATTATAGATACGTCGTGATTTTCTATTGATAGTGGAACGATCGAACGATATTCCTCGGCGCAAACGCGATGTCTATCGTGTGTATTTGCGAGAACGAGATAAAGATATCGTGCCTATCGCGCGATATTATGCGACTGATGCGATGGATGATACACTACGCGTCGTTACCGCCTTCGTCATCGCGCCGCACGGTAAATTCGGACGCAGCCGCGCGCGTATTTGCTCTCGGAAGCGACGATATCCGCTCACGCGCGTCGCGCTCGCGGTACGCTCTGATTATCAACGAATAATTCCTGCAAGCGACGCGCTGTAGCGTGCAAATTTCCCGACAGAGCGCCACGTCCGGCCCGTCGAAAATCATTCCGGCAACGTGCCGAGCGACGCGCGGGGATGGAAACGGCCCCGTCGAAAAAAAACCGCTTTTCGCTTATCCCTTGAACTTTGATCCCTCGTGGCGTGCCGCTGACAGGTTGTTCAATGTTTGCCCAACCGTTTGTCCTGCAGACCGGTATTTGGTTAATCAGCGAGTTAGTTGTCCATGGTCGAATTCCCGTCGTCGTTCCTACCGCCGTACCCCGGCCGTTTACACGTAACGCACGTTTCTCTTGATTTCTCTCTCACTCTACACCTGTCCGTTAGTTTGTTTATCTCTTTCGCGGATGGTCTCGCTGGACTCCGGCTGATCGGAATTTATCGAACGTGTTCGTGCGTTCACGCGTGTAAATATCTGCTGCGCACTGAACGATTTGGCCCACACTTTAGACGGTCCCTCTAGTTGATGATATGGATACCAACAGAATTTTTCTTAAAAGCACGTGCCACATAGAATGTAATTCACACTCGCTCCATCCGCTCAGAATTGAAAAAGCATTTCGACCATTCCGTTAGAACTTAACGGAGGAAAAAATATCGATAAGTTATTTCTTCCAACTAATTAAACAAATTTAATTATTATATTATCGAATATTAAGTACATGCTTTTCAGATAATTTAATAGAGAATTATCTTAAATAGTTTCTCTCGCTTTTTGAGAGATCGAAATTTTCCGAGTAAAGTGCGGAAAAGTTCTCGAATTCACAATGCGCGATGCTTTCTAATCTTCGCAAAATCTAAACAACGCAGCCGGCATTTGCACGCTCAGATAGATAACCTAATCCGATCTTCTACGACTCCACCGCGTATATCGCCCGGTTACCCTGCCCACCCGAAAACCGAGCGCGTCCTCTCGGCTTCCGTCGTCTCAGCGTCCTTCGATGTGTGCACGAAGTTAGTGAGTTTGCGTAGTTAGCGTTACTTGTGCATTAATTGAGGATTACAACAGCAACGAGATATGAGGGGGGCGGTGGTACCGGCGGGCAGGTTGTATAGCAGCGGGTAGAGTTGCCGGGAAACCAAGGGGAGGTTGCGAGGACGAAGCGATGGAGAGGATGGAGAGCGAGCTCGGGGAGGGGCTGAAGCGAAAGGAGGATCGCGAGCGGGGAACAGCACCGCGTCGGGGGAGGGTTGGATGCGGAGGAGTTGGTCGACAAGCGTGAGTACAAGCTCAAACGCAGGCTTCAGTCTCAGACTCTCAGGCACATGGTAACTTTCCTAATCACCGTACGAAGCCCCGAGGTAGTCATCCGCTCTGCCATCATATCACCATCTAAGTACAGTAGACACGAAAGCTCGATTAGAGACGTCGAAATCGCGTGCGGCGCACGCGGATACCTTCCCTCCTCCTGTTCCCCTTTGCGGAATACGTACGCTTACGTCTATCCTTGGCTCAAAGTTCAAATTCTTCGCTGGTGCGACATACGAATTCAATCGAGAGTTAATGCGTGTCCGCGATTTAGTGAAGCAAATCGCTCGAAGGTAACGCTTGCCGGCGAAAAACGTTTTTCCAGCGTATGTACATAGCACGCTTTGTGCGAATGCATGCATGTGTATGCATAGCTTGACGTTACACCTCGTGTTCTGCCAAAGCTATCTCCGCGACAGTTTGTATGCTTCATGAATTGCTATTGTTTCTTTCTAATGTTTGACTAGGTTTGCTCTCGGTTTGCGTTCTTCTGGTCTTTTAGGACATTAAATAACTAAATTGATCAATTCATTGTTCAATTAACCTTTTGCCTTTAAATAACTTGATACAATTTTTATCTTAAAAGATTTCATATCGCAATTTTTTGGCAGACAGCAAAAATTTAGATATTTCAATATATTTAATAATTACAGTAATTTAAAAAAATTTTTTTAAATAATTTTATAATTTGATTTCAATTATTAATAATTGTATTTGAGAAATTTTATATTAATTTTATTTTGATATTTTTTATTGTTGAGTTATACAATTTTACTCAATAATTTTGAAAATATGTAAACGATATAACGTCTTTTTTTTTAATTTTTCTTATTTATACAAGAGGAAATTTATATAATGCTTGCGCACCGTATAAATTCCAAATTTATATTATATATATAAATTTATATATGTACTGACCGTAGTTTGTGTCCTGACGTCATAGCATGTCTGATCCTACAAAGCAATCCTTTGTGCTCGTGATGGAGTCTTCCATGTTTCGCAGTACTTTCGCGTACGAATGAAAAACTAGTTTGCAAAACCTTTTCTTTGTTTGGCTGACTCTAATGTACCAACGTATACTCAAAATTTGGACAAAGCTATAATATGATACGCAAATAATATTTTGACATTGGTCTTTATAATATTAGTTGCAAAATTTGATACACATAATTAGATATTTACGAGTAGATAATAATGAGAAATGCAAAATGAAGATAATGTGTAATCCTATTTAGGAAAATGAACACTAATTAGTCATTATGATAAAGCCTCATTCTTATTTCTTAATGAGTTTTAATGAGAAAATTTGCTGATTATTTAGTGCATTATTACTATTATTGTAACTTATTAATCTGACAGTAAAGCAAAGTTTGCTGTTTATATCAAACGGTAGAGATGGCTTGTTCATAAAATAATGACTACTTC